GGGGAGGGATATGGTCTCCATGTAGAATATCCTCATCCTCCAACGCCTACCCCTCCATCTGTCACACTACACTACCAGCCGTAACCTCCGCAACCTTAACCCCGCCCCCCTCCACTCTACAGCTGATCAAACTCCACGACCGCATCCTCCCCCTGTCCTGCCCCGACCTGGCTATGACTGCCTACAACAACTCGCTGTCAACAGCTCTTGACTCACTAGCGCCTTTAACCACATGCAACATCAGACCTCGACCGCTCCAGCCCTGGCAGACTGATCACACCAAAACCCTCAAACGACACAGTCGTGCCCTGGAGCGACTATGGCGCAAAACCAAATCCCAACAAGCCTTCACCCGCTACAAATCTGCCTTCCACACCTACACCTCCTCCTTCCATGCAGCCAAACAAAGCCTACTTCCTGACCCTCATCAAGGCCCTCTCCTCCAATCCTCGCCGACTCTTCTCCACCTTTCAACTCTCTACTCTCGCCACCCCCCACCTCCATCCAGCACCTCACTCGCCGCCCTTGAGATTGCCAATCACTTCAAAAACAATTTTGACACAATTCGCAAGGACATTGCCACAACTCACACTCCCTCTCAACCCGTCCCCTCTCACACAGCTACCCCTCATCCCCCCTCTCCCTCGACATAACCCGCAGGGGACTTCGTCGCTGCTCAAACTCCCTCCAACCCCGTTCCCTCTCCCACAGCCCCACCACTGCTCTGACCTCCACTTCCACCCCACCCTACATTCCTTATACTGAAGCCCCCCCAACACTCCGCACCTTTGACCTTACTACCATCGAGGAAGTCTCCAAGATCCTCTCTGATGCCTGCCTCACCACCTGCCCCCTCGACCCTTTCCCCTCACAACTCCTACGACCTCCCTCCCCCTCCATCCTACGCTCCCTCACCCACATCTTCAATCTCTCCCTCTCCTCAGGCACTTTCCCCTCCCCTCTGAAACATGCACACATCACCCCCATACTTAAAAAGCCCTCCCTGGACCCCAATGACCCGAACAACCTCAGACCCATCTCCCTGCTCCCATTTACATCTAAACTCCTCGAGCGCCTAGTCTACACCCGCTATGCTCTCACCTCAATGACAACCACCTCCCGACCCCCTACAGTCCGGCTTCCGTCCCTACACTCCACCGAAACTGCCTTACTTAAACTCTCCAACGACCTGCTAACCCGCCAAAGCTAATGGCCACTATTCAGTGCTCCTACTCCTTGACCTCTCTGCGGCCTTTGACACAGTCGACCACCCCCCCTCCTCCTCAAAAAACTACACTCCCTCGTCCTCAGATTCTGCTCTCTCCTGGCTCTCATCCTACTTGTCACAACGCTCTTTCAGCGTTACCTATAATGCTACCCACCTACCCCTCACTCCCCCTCTCTGTTGGGGTCCCTCAAGGCTCCGTCCTCGGGCCCCTTCTCTTCTCCATCTACACCTCCTCCCTTGGCCAACTCATACACTCTCACAGCTTCAACTATCGCCTCTATGCCGACGACACACAATCTATCTATCTCTCAACCCCCCACCTCACCACCCTCGGTCTCCGCCCGAATCACACACCTACTGAGCGACATATCAGACTGGATGTCACTCCACTTCCTTAAACTGAACCTCTCCAAAACCGAGTTTCTTGTCTTCCCCCCAGCCCAGACCCCCACCCCCCATTGACTTCTCCATCACATCCAATAACGCCACCATCAAACCCGCCCCCGCAGGTCAGAGTACTTGGTTTCATTCTGGACTCCAATCTATCCTTTCAGCCCCAAGTCCAATCTTTATCAAACTCGTGCAGACTCCCACCTCCGCAACATCGCCAAAATACGCACGTTCCTAACCCCAGAAACCACTAAACAGCTCATCCACTCCCTCATCATATCACGACTCGACTACTGCAACACCCTCCTCACTGGCCTGCCTCGCCACAGGCTATCCCCGCTTCAGTCCGATCCTGAATACGGCTGCCAGACTCATTCACCTTTCCAACCGCTCCATCTCCGCCACCCCCCTCTGCCAATCCCTCCACTGGCTTCCGATTGCGCAACGGATCAAATTCAAAATCCTAACACTGACGTACAAAGCTGTCCACCATACTGCCCCGAACTACATCACCGACCTAATATCCAAGTACCACCCAACACGCACCACTCCGCTCCTCACAAGACCTCCTTCTCTCTAGTTCCCTGGTCTCCTCCTCCCATGCCCGCCTCCAGGACTTCTCCAGCGTGTCACCCATCCTCTGGAACTCCCTGCCCCAACCCATCAGATTATCACCTACTGTCCTCTCCTTTAGGCGCACCCTGAAAACCCACCTCTTCAGGGAAGCCTACCCCACCCCCTGCTAACTTGCCAACCTCCTCCACTCTTCCTACACCACTCCATCCCCCACAGCTATCTCTTCCTTTGCCACCACCCCCTCCCTCCTAGATTGTAAACTCCAAGGAGCAGGGCCCTCGAACCCCTCATGTTTTGCATTGTATTGGTATTGTTCTGTCACATGTTCTGTCCCCCTTTGTAATGTACAGCGCTGAGCGAACTATTGGCGCTTTATAAATACTGTATAAATAATACATAAGGGGGGGGGGGTATGATCTCCATGTACAGTTGCAAGAAAAAGTATGTGAACCCCTTGGGATTACGTGGAGTTTTGCATGAATTGGGCATAAAATGTGCTCTGAACGTCATCTAAGTCACAACAATAGAAGAACACAGTCTGCTGAACATAATACTACACAAACATTAGATGTTGCCATGGTTTAATTGCACATAACATGTAAACATTCACAGTGCAGGGAGGAAAAAGCATATGAGGCCCTAGCTTAATGACTTCTCCCAGAGCTAATTGGAGCCAGGAGTGAGCCAACCTTGACTCCAATCAGTGTGATGATATTGGATGTGTTGCTGACAGCTGTCCTGCCCTTAAAAAACACACACCTGTTTTGGGTTTACTGGTTTCAAGAAGCACTGTCTGATGTGAACCATGCCTCGCAGAAAAGAGCTCTCAGAAGACCTACCATCAAAATTGTTGACTTGCATGAAGCTGGAAAGGGTTACAAAAGTATCTCCAAAAGCCTTGATGTTCATGTGTCCACGGTAAGACAGACTGTCTACAAATGGAGAAAGTTTAGCACTGTTGCTACTCTCCCTAGGCGTGGTCGTCCTGTAAAAATGACTGCAAGAGCACAGCGCAGAATGCTGCATGAGGTAAAGAAGAATCCCAGAGTGTCAGCTAAAGACCTACAGAAATCTCTGGCACATGCTAACATTTTTGTTGACACATCTACAATAAGGAAAACATTAAACAAGAATGGAGTACATGGGAGGACACCACGGAGGAAGCCATTGCTGTCCAAAAAGAAGATTGCAGCACGTTTGAAGTTTGCAAAAAAGAGCACCTGGATGTTCCACAGCACTACTGGCAAAATATACTGTGGAACAGATGACACCAAGATTGAGTTGTTTGGGAAGAACACACAACACTGTGTTCTTCCCAAACAACTCATTTCTCATTTTAGTTTTGTTTCCTGGATAGCATTAGCAATTCAAGAAGTTACTTTACTTTCAATTGTCAAATTATTTTAATTTTAATATAATTGTCAGATTAAAAGCTTTTAAGAGTAGTAACTGTTTTGGATGCAGAGAAAAGGTCACTGGAGTCCTGAAGAGTCCTGCACTGCCCCAGGAGACTCTGATATCGCCGTCCTGGTTTATAACAGAAGACTGGGGTGTTGCAATGCACAGGAGCAGGGCCATGGAGAAGGGGATACCACCAGTCGTCCTGTACGGGGCCCAGGCAGCTGGGTGAATCAGATGTGAGCAGGGAGGGTGGTGGGTGTGGCATTGGGACAATTCCTGGAACCGATCCCCTGTATTGTTCTCCCTGCAGCAGATGGAAGCTGGCTTCTTCTTTCCCTCCCGCTGACTTTTAGCTGCTGCAGAGAGAGCCATACAGGGGGCACTGGTTCCATTACTAGCCCCCCGCACCCAAAACCCTCCCTGTGCAGCATATGTTTCCCCCTGTGTGCCCACCCCCGCAGTGCTGCCGGTTTTCCTCCTCTCCTTCCCTTCAGCAGCTGCAAGCACACAATAGGATCCTTCAGGATGGAGAGTAGGGGCAGGGTCCAGTAAATGTCACATTTACCAGCCCTTCCTTTCCTGAATGAACACAATGTGTGATCGGTATTGATCACTCACTGTGTTCATTCGTAATTGAAGCCTAGTAAACTGTGTTTTGTTTTTTTTTGGGGGGGGGGGGGGGTTGCCTGTTTGGTTGTTTGGGGTTCCATGGTTTCTAACAGCAGCCCTGCACAAGAGACCACTATTGACCTAATGCAAAGTGAATGCATTTTACCATTTGTGTTGATTTACTAAAGGCAAATATTTATTTATTTCAGGTACTTATATAGCGCCATCAGTTTACGCAGCACTTTACATATATATATATATTATACATTCACATCAGTCCCTAACCCTCAAGGGGTGTACAATCTAAGGGCCCTAATTCACATCCATACATACACATACTAGGGCCAATCTAGAAAGGAGCCAATTAACCTCCCAGCATGTCTTTGGAGTGTGGGAGGAAACCGGAGTACCCGGAGGAAACCCACGCAGGCACAGGGAGAACGTGCAAACTCCAGGCAGGTGGTGCCGTGGTTGGGATTTGAACCGCTGACCCGAGTACTGCCAGGCGGAAGTGCTAACCATTTAGCCAATGTGCTGCCCTGTTAACTCCGCAAGGGAACTTACATTTTGCAAAGGAGCTTTCCCCAGAGTTAGTCTGTGCTTTTTTTAATTTTTTTTTTCTCCCCTTGAATGTGATTGGGTATTCTTGGCAAAGCTAAGCTCAGGAGAAAGTTCTCCTGCAAAGTTTAACTTCCCCTTGCATAGTAAACAGACTGTTTGCCTTTTGGTAATTTAGCCCTGTTGTCACCAAGTATATAATTTCCTCTAATATTTAGTTTTAGGTTAAATATTTTGTTTTTCTCTTCAGTGTGTGAAAGTTGCAGTTAAAGACAAGCAGGTGAAGTACTTCATTCACTACAGCGGGTGGAATAAAAAGTAAGTTGCACTGAAATGCTAATTGTCTTGTAGCCTTGAGACATCTTTTACTTTCAGCTTTTTATTATTTTTTTTATTTTTTTTTTGGACTTGTTTGGTTCTTGACCTTTTCAGTTGAACACTTGGTTCCCCACCAATCACTTTAGAGCAAGGGTGTCAAACTCCATTTCATCATGGGCCGCATCAGCATTATGATTGCCCTCAAAGGGCCGGTTGTATCTGTAAGACTAGATATCCAGAGCACCTAACCCCCCCCCTCCCATTACATCAGATGTCAAGAATTCCACACCCTCCCTAACATCACCATGCAACCCCTTTGGGGGCAGAGCTGGAAAGCAGAAAGTGCAGGGTCTGGAGGAGGAGCAGAGGAGGAGTGGAGTCAGTTTACAGAGTCTGCTGAATTCTGAGACCAGGGGAGGCAGAGATGAGGGGGTGCTGCAGCTGCACTGAGAGGTGCAGGATCTGGTAGAGGACTTCTGTTCGCCTGTGCTGCTTACTGCTGAGACAAGGTGAAGAGTTAGGGGCGGAGACAAGGGGGTAACCTGCAGGAGAGGTGCAAGGGCCACTTGAAATGGCCTGGAGGGCTGGATTTGGCCCGCGGGCCTTGTGTTTGACACCTGTGCTTCTCATTTTGTCCTGAACTACACTAGGCAGGTCTTCTTGATTTATAGCGTTAATCTGGTGATGGGACGGCCTGCTAATGTTTCCTGTTACTGGCTGTATTGCCCCGCCCTGTGTATATATCTTGTATCTATGTTCAAATAAAGCAGTCCACTTCCTGTTTTAAGACGAGTCTGGTGCTGTCTCGTCCTGTATGGTCAGCGGTGGTGTCCGTGGATCTGTGTTCGGACAGGGAAGCGGGAGTCTAACGGACATACCCTAGTGCAGTCGGGGTCGGTTCCATTACAATGTTTCCTTTAACTGGAAATTAACTATAAAGTGAACGTCCAGCCTATTCCCAACTGTGCTTAAACCTGCTGCCACCTCACCTAAATCCTACGTACCCTGTGGAAGGAAGATGAGTATACTTGCCTATTCTGAGGGTGCTCCAATCCGGTCACATGATCAGCTGTCGGCAGCAGCTTCAGTAGAGGGGAGGCAGCTGACAATGGAAACCTCATAGTAAGCCTATTGGATACGTCGGCACCGAAAATGGCGATCTCTCCTTTGTACTGAAGCAAAGGATAAGTTCACCTTTGGGAACATGTAACAGGTTCCAGCTACTAACCCCCCTCCCCCCCCTTCCCCGTGACAGCAGTACAGGGAGAAGAAGTTTCCCGTACTAGCTGTCATGTTTTGAAAACAATGGGCTCCACCCACACGACTGCGTCATTCATTCACAGAGTTCTCTGAATGAACTACAAGTCCCTACAACGTTTGGGGCCGTCACCCCGTACTAGCTGTCACTTTTTGAAAAAGGGCTCCACCCACACGGATGCGTCATTCATTCAGAGTTCTGTGAATGAACTACAAGTCCCTACAGGCTTTGGGGCTGTCGCCCCGTACTAGCTGTCACTTTTTGAAAACGTTCTCTATCCACATGGCTGCATCATTCATTCAGAGTTCTGTGAATGAATGAACTACAAGTCCCTACAGGCTTTGGGGCTGTCGCCCTGTACTAGCTGTCACTTTTTGAAAACGTTCTCCATCCACATGGCTGCGTCATTCATTCAGAGTTCTGTGAATGAATGAACTACAAGTTCCTGCAGCCTTTGGGGCTGTCACCCCGTACTAGCTGTCATTTTTTTAAAACAACGTGCTCCACCCACACGGTGGCATCATTCATTCACAGAGTTCTGTGAATGAATGAACTACAGGTCACTACTGCCTTTGGGGCTGTCACCCTGTAATATCTGTCACTTTTTGAAAACTGGCTCCACCCACACAGCTGTCTCATTCATTCAGAGTTTGTGAATGAGTGAACTATAGGGCCCCACAGCCTTTGGGGCTGTCAGCTTGTAGTTCTCATTGAACTACCATGGTGTCGTTGACCGCTGTGGTAGTTTTTTGATTCTTCCTGTCAGACTATCTGCCCATACGGGATGTATGATCATGCACATACACTGACCGCTTGCAGAAGTCCTGCATGGCATCTGCTGATTGGTGGTGCAAGGCTTTGCAGGCTAAAAAAAAAAAAAGAAGCTAAATGGACATTTTTTCACCTGCAAAAAAAAATTTGCATTTATTTTATTTATAGATTTATTTTAACGTGAACCTTTTTTTATTTTGAAGAAAAAATCGTGGCAAAATTATTTCCCATGCAGTGGTGCTGTGCCCGCACTGCATGGGTTAAATGTTTGTTTTTGTCTAGGCGCTCAAAGCAAAGATATATTTACGTAATCGGAGTGCAAGGCCAGTCCCCGCCACTCCGGTCTTGTGAATGGGCTGTTCCTGACGTCATCAAGCCCATAGACCTGCTCCAGACGTGAGGACGGCAGGAACAGCCCACCGCTGGACGTGGGGGAGCGCGGTTTTCCAAAGGACTGTGCAAGGTACAGCTTTTACATGAGCCCCTGGACTTAACGAGCACTTAATGTGGTTGTAAAGGCTCAAGGTTTTTTACCTTCATTCTATGCACAAAGGTAAATTCTTTTCAGCATTTCCCCCCCAGCCCTCCCTAATAACCTAAGCCCCCCCCTAATATCCTAAGCCTCCTCCCGATCCAGCGATGTGCACTGGAGTCTCGGCTATCCTGGGACTCCCTCTCCTCATTGGCTGAGACAGCAACAGGCGCCATTGGCTCCCACTGCTGTCAATCACAGCCAGTGAGCCAATTAAAAGAAAGGGGCTTGGTCGAGCCGCAGCTTCATGTGTGCTGGACACACGAGCAATGGCTTGGGAATGCGTGTGCTTGGGGTGCCCCCAGAGCAAGCTGCTTGCTGTGGAGGCACCCGACAGAAGGGAAGGGCCAGGAGCACAAGCGGGGGCACCCGAGAAGAGGAGGATCCAAGCTTCTCTGTGCAAAACACAGCGGGTAAGTATGATTTTCAACATTGTTGTTTTTTGATTTTTCATGGGAAAATAACATTTTTAACCCGAGTTTTGCTTTAAGATGGTTAGGAATAGACTAGACGTCCACTTTATTTTGTCTATTGAAATTAACTCAGTATCTTCTAGGGGGGGGGTCATTGAAGATCAGACTTGGAGAAAGGGAAATGTCATTGAGAAGTGGTAGCAAAAAAGAATATTTGCAGGAATTGGCTTGTTAGACAAAGTTACATGAATCCAACTTTGACCATTGGTAGCTATGGATATACTTATGCCCCTGGAAGCTGGAAATCACTGATGTAGACACCTCCACTACAGTGACCTCCACTACAGTGACCTCCACTACAGTGACCTCCACTACAGTGACCACTAGGTTCTGGGTCCCATGCTGAGAAAGCCACCCTGATGCTTTATAACAGGTCAGCTGGTCGGCACAGGCACCGTTCAGAGAATGCCTTGCATCTTTTGAATGAATGCAAAGCATTCTCTGGACAAGGTGGAGAGCGTGACATCACAGCCCTGACATCCAATCAGTACACTTTTTGCATTCATTCAAAAAATGCTGAACATTCTCTAATTGTCGCCCATGTGCCAAGCAGTTGATCTGTTGCGTTCAAAATGCAGGCAAGCAGCTGCTTGGTGTGGGACCTGGAAACTAGCGGGGATCACTGTAGCAGCCTCGTCTACTTCTGTGATTTCCAGCTTCCAGGGGCATTGCCAGGTATGGTAATATGCATTTGGAAAGTTGCAGCAATGTTCAGTAACGATTTATAACATGCTGATGCCTGGAGTTTTTTAAACCTCATAGAAATATTGAACTTTTTATCCATTTATAGATGGATTTCCTTCATAAACCCTTTCTTACCATTTCCATTGAGGCTAGCTTCACATATATGCGGGTGGGTGCGGCTGCGGATCCGCACGAAAATGCGTGCACCCTCCCCTCCCCCCCCCCCCCCCCCCGCACAGAGGAATGCGGACCCGTGGGCAGGTGCCATTCGTTCTAATGGCACGCCGCCCGCCCTGGAAATTGCAACCGTACTGGAAACCTCGGCTGCATTTTCAGAAGTGCCGGGACTTCTTACCTACGGGACACGGGAGTCCATTCAAATGAATGGGCTCTTGTGCCCGCGCAAAAGGCGACCCGCACGGCTGCATATATGTGAACCCGGGGTTAATAGAAGTTAGTTTTCTTGGATGTGTACTGTAGATACTTCTCCATTAAGTGGAAGTTTCCTTTGTATTGATTGTAGTACAATGGTCCTGCACAGCGCAGCCCTGAACCTCCTCTTCTGGAGCCCCACCTTTTCTCCATGTGCCTCCATAGGAAGCTGCTTCCTATAGTAACATGTGCCGGCTCGCTCCTGAGCCTTGCAGTGAGTGTCTAGTGGAACAGACAGTGCGGCTCAGCCCTGCCCCTGCTCCCTCGTTACTGAATTTGATTGACCGCAGCAGAAGCCAGTGGCTCCCACTGTGTCCAGTGAGGAGAGAGAGCTCTCGGACAATGCTTGATTGTGATCAGGCTGGGGTATGTATTTTAGGGGGGTGGGGGGCCCTCTCCCTTTCTGCCTCTCTCGTTTTTATTTTGGTAAATCTCTGTACAGTAAACTGTTCTGCTTGTCTATTACATTGGCTGATTTTTTATTTTAGTTTTTTCTTTCCTTTTTCAGCTGGGATGAGTGGGTACCAGAAAGTAGAGTACTCAAATACGTGGACACTAACCTGCAAAAACAAAAAGAACTTCAGAAGGCCAATCAGTAAGTATATTTATCATCCTGTTTTGAAGGCAAATAAATAACTTTGTTTTGGGCAGAAGGGATTGGATTTGCAGTGATCTGTATCAAGGGGTGCACATGGACATGCACTATATTGCCTAAAGTATTGGGCCACTGGCCTTTCCACACACATGACCTTTAATGGCCCCCCCAGTCTTAGTCTGTAGGGTTTAATATTGAGTTGGCCCCGCCCTTTCCACACACAGGACCTTTAATGGCCTCCCAGTCTTAGTCCGTAGGGTTCAATAGTGAGTTGGCCCCGCCATTTGCAGCTATAACAGCTTCAACTCTTCTGGGAAGGCCGTCCACAAGGTTTAGGAGGGTGTCGATGGGAAGGTTGGACCATTCTTCCAGAAGCACATTTGTCAGGTCAGGCACTGATGTCGGGGGAGGAGGCCTGGCTCGCAGTTTCCGCTCTAATTCATCCCAAAGGTGTTCTATGGGGTTGAGGTCAGGACTCTGTGCAGGTCAGTCAAGTTCCTCCACCCCAAACTGGCTCCTCCATGTCTTTATGGACCTTGCTTTGTGCACTGGTGGGCAGTCATGTAGGAACAGGAAGGGGCCATCCCCAAACTCTTCCCACAAAGTTGTGAGCATGAAATTTTGTCCAAAATGTCGCCTTAAGAGTTCCCTTCGCTGGAACTAGGGGGCCAAGCCCAACACCAGAAAAACAATCCCACACCATAATCCCCCCCTCCACCAAACTTTACACTTGGCACAATGCAGTCAGGCAAGTACCGTTCTCCCGGCAACCACCAAACCCAGACCTGTCCATCGGATTGCCAGACAGAGAAGCGTGATTGGTCCCTCCAGAGAACACTGCTCTAGAGTCCAGTGGCGGTGTGCTTTACACCACGGCATCTGACTCTTTGCATTGCACTTGGTGATGGAAGGCTTGGATGCAGATTCTCGGCCATGGAAACCCATTCCATGAAGCTCTCTATGCACTGTTGTTGGGCTCATCTGAAGGCCACACCAAGTTTGGAGGTCTTTAGCTATTGACTCTGCAGACAGTTGGCGACTTCTGTGCACTTCAGCATGCGCTGACCCCGCCCTGTCATGTGACGTGGCCTACCACTTGGTGGCTGAGTGGCTGTTGTTCCCAGTTGCTTCTACTTTGTTATAATCCCACTAACAGTTGAGCGTGGAATATTTAGTAGCCAGGAAATGTCACGGATGGACTTATTGCCCAGGTGACCACCTATCACGGGACCACGCTTGGAGTCACTGAGCTCCTGAGAGCGACCCATTCTTTCACCAATGTTTGTAGAAGCAGTCTGCATGCCTAGGGGCTTGGATTGTATACACCTGTGTCCATGGAGGGGATTGGAGCACCTGAATCACATGATTGGGAGGGGATTGGAACACCTGAATCACATGATTGGGAGGGCGGGGCCAATACTTTTGATAATATAGTGTATATACTTGCATCTATGGGTACGGAGGAGACATAGGCAGATACCATCTTAACTCTTTAACCCCTTCCCGCCTGACGCCTCCCAGCCCTTTAAGAGATTCTGACGTCGGGAGGCGGGGCGCTGGGGCGTGGTTTAGGAATCATGTGACCGCCGTGATGACGCGTCACGGCGGTCACATGATCGGGAAAGGTCCCGTTCGAAAGAGCGGAGCGGGACCTTTCCGTGAGTACTACACATGTGTGCGGGGAGCGCGCAGGGCGCGCGCTCTCAGCACATATGTATTTAGTTCCATGGACGCAAATGTGCGGCCGCTCGACGTCTAGGCCCAGACGCCGGGAGGCCGCACATCTGCGTGCGGCCGGCGCAAAGGGGTTAAAGTACTTTTGTTGAAAAAAATATTTTTAAAAACTTTGTTGCAGATTCTGACTTTTTTGTGAAGAAATAGCTCTTGGTTTCTCTTGTGTCCATGTGCAGAGTGAATCTGTATAGGAGTGATTTTATCAGCTGCTGCACCTGCAGGGCTCCAGTGAGGAAAGTGACAGGGTCTGCATCCCTTTAGTCATGCATTTCCTTTTGTAGTATCTCTCATTTCAACTTATTTCATGCCCTTGATGCCTTTGGTGGAAGCTGTTGGGTGTGACTCTTGCTGGATTTGGGTCTTCGGGACTGCAGCTGCAAGATTTCCTCACCATGGCTCCTGGCTCTGCTCACCATATAATCTAACATTCTCACTCCTCTAGTTACACTCTCCATAATTAGAGTGACTCCATTTTGTTGAAGAAAAAAAAAAAAAATTCCCATCTGAGTGATCGATGTCTATTGCAGGGATTTTAAGGAACTTAGTAGCAGATTCCTACCTTTTTGTTGTTCTGAAGAAATAGTTTTTTGTCTCCATGTGTAAAATGAATGTGAATGAGGGCGAGTTTATAATTGTCAATCAGCTGCTGCACCTGTGGGGTTCCAATGAGGAAAGTGGCAGGGTCTGCCTCCCTTTTTGTAGACATGATTTTCCTTTGGAAGTATCTCACTAAAAATGACATTTTGTTGCAGGGGATGCCCAAAATCTGACAGTGCAGACTTCTGGGAAAATCAGTGAGTCAATCACACAATGACATTTCTGGGGGGTGCTGTGTATACCATCTCTGTACAGAACAGATTAAATTAAGGGCTTGGTTGGTCAAATTTCGAAATCAATGGTGGCGCCATTGGATTAAAAAAACGCACAAAATTTTCTGATTTTTCTAAAGAAAATTATTTCGGAGTTCGACCCGTGTATGGCCTGCATTAGATTCTCAATATTAAAGCCGGCCATACACGGGTCGAATTCAGAACAAATTTTCTTTAGAAAATTGGAAATTTCATGCGTTTTGTAATGCGATGGCGCCACCATTGATTTTGAAATTCAACCAACCAATCCTTTAATTCCTCCTCCATGTTGCTACAGAAAAGAATTTTCGAGGCCAAGAATTTTCTTTTCTTTCCAGGTCACAGCTTTATATTTCTCGCACGATTCTCCCATCGTCGATTCGAAATTCGTTTGAGTGTTTGGGCATGTTGGAAATTTTTGGAAAAACAAACGAATTTCGAATCGACGATGGGAGAATCGTGCGAGAAATATAAAGCTGTGACCTGGAAGGAAAAGAAAATTCTTGGCCTCGAAAATTCTCTTCTGTAGCAACACGAGAAATTAAAGGCTTGGCTGGCCAAATTTCAAAATCAATGGTGGCGCCATCAGATTACAAAACGCACAAAATTTCCGATTTTCTAAAGAAAATTTGGGCTGAATTTGACCTGTGTATGGCTGGCTTTAATATTGAAAATCTAATGCAGGCTATACACGGGTCGAATTCTGAAAGAATTTTCTTTCGAAAATCTTTTCTAAGAATTTTCGTTCGAATTTCGCACCATTAGTGGGTCATAGAAATGGCCAATTTTTTGTGACGATCGAATTTGTTTTTCCTAAAATTTCCAACATGCCCAATCACTCAAATTCGATGGCCACACAAAAATTGACCATTTCTATGACCCACTAATTTTTGTGTGACCATCGAATTTGAGTGATTGGGCATGTTGGAAATTTTAGGAAAAACAAATTCGATCCTCACACACAAAAATTGGCCATTTCTATGACCCACTAATGGTGCGAAATTCGAACGAAAATTCTTAGAAAAGATTTTGGAAAGAACAATTTATTTCGGAATTCGACCTGTGGCCGCCTTGAGCTGAACCGAGCATACAGAGGTCTGGTGGAACATGCTGGCAGACAGTTTAGTTCTTCTCCGGGAATGAGGCGGGTAGACCGTATCAGCTGCACAATGTGGAGGCTTCTCCACCCACAGAATGGACAAGCCTGGGCTTTCTCTGCAATCTCATATATATGATGGAAAGGTTACTTCATTGGCCAGAAATATGTTGGAAGATATTCGTCTTGTACCTGTGAGCTCGAATTTTATGTGCAGGCCGTTGGTGGCCAGGTTGAATGTTCTAATGTTTAGTTTTGTTTTTAGGGATCAGTATGCAGAGGGGAAGATGAGAGCAGCCGCTCCAGGAAAGAAGTCAGCTGCACTTCAGCAGAAGAATGTGGAAGTGTAAGTGAATCCGTGTGTGATAAAATGAACATTATTGCGCTTTGTTTCTTCTATGTGCTATGCATCATTCAGGGATGTGCAAATTCGATCGCCTGATGCCAGGGCAAGCAGCGGGGTCAACTTTGTTTTCCTTTTTCTTTTTTTTGCCCCTTTTTTAAAGTTCCACCTAAAAAATAAATAAATAAATAAATGTCAGCATCTGCAAAAACTATAGCTGCTGCCTTTTAAAATACAGCCACTTACCTGTCCCTCGGTCCAGCGGTGTCCTCACCGCGTCTGGTTTCACCGGCCGTCTTCTCTCCCTGGCGCCGGCATCTTCAGTGTGGGCACCCGGCTGTGACTGCTTGCGGCTTCACAGCCGGGTGCCCACTGAGCACGCGCAAGAAGCACTGCGCTTTGTGAAGGGCCCGTAGTCTTCTGGGACTTGTCACGTGTCCCAGAAGACTACAGGGAGGAAGGGAAGGGGGGGGAACTTCCGCTTTCGATCACCTAGGCCAGGGGTAGGCAACCTGAGAGCCGCAGGGCTACAAGTTCCATAATGCCTCTGCAAGTCATAGCTGTAACTGTGTTTTTTGTAATCTTTGCAATGCCTCATGGGAAATGTAGTTCAACAACAGCTAGAGAGCCGCAGATTGCCTAATGCTGACCTAGGCTATCGCAGCAGAGGTGTGAGCAGGTACCTGTCAAATGTCAGGTACCCGCTCCCTCCCACCCCCGCTGCCCAAAGGTGCCAATCCTTAATGGGGAAAGGGGGACAAGGGCTTAAAGCGGAAGTTCTGCTTTTGGGTAGAGTTCTGCTTTTGGGTAGAGTTCTGCTTTTGGGTAGAGTTCTGCTTTTGGGTAGAGTTCTGCTTTTGGGTAGAGTTCTGCTTTTGGGTAGAGTTCTGCTTTTGGGTAGAGTTCTGCTTTTGGGTAGAGTTCTGCTTTTGGGTAGAGTTCTGCTTTTGGGTAGAGTTCTGCTTTTGGGTAGAGTTCTGCTTTTGGGTAGAGTTCTGCTTTTGGGTAGAGTTCTGCTTTTGGGGTAGAGTTCTGCTATTGGGTAGAGTTCTGCTATTGGGTAGAGTTCTGCTATTGGGTAGAGTTCTGCTATTGGGTAGAGTTCTGCTATTGGGTAGAGTTCTGCTATTGGGTAGAGTTCTGCTATTGGGTAGAGTTCTGCTTTAACCCACCACAGCACATTTACTGCGGCAGGTTGGTTCTTACAGGTACTTTAACATGCGTGTACGTCACAACGGCTTTCTGCCTGGTCCTCTCGCAAATGCGGAAGACTGTGCTATCATTTGCTGCGGGGCCTGGCCAATGATTTATGGCTGGATTCTTCTGCTCAGATCAGGGAATGACAGGAGAGGTCTCTGTGTTGGTAAACACAGAGCTCTCTTCAGACAGCAGCAACGTGCTGTCGTGTAGTTGTGTTTTTTTTTTTTTGTTTTTTTTTCTTTTCAAAATTTTGGGTTTTTATTTTAGATCACAAAAAAAATATAAAAAACAGTGATTATAAAATACCACCAAAAGAAAGCTCTTTGGATAAAATTATATACATTTTATTTGGGTACTGCGCTGCATGACCGCACAATTACCAGTTAAAGTAGCGCCATGCTGTAAGACATAACCTCGTCATGAAGGGGGTAAAAAAGTGGTTAACGGAGGTAACACCAGAGTGTGGTTTGGCTGCTTAACATGCGCTTGTACTGAGCACCCAAATGCTTCTGTGTACGAGGGTAACCTGAAGGAATGTAGTGGGGGCTTTAGGATTTCGGGGGGGGGGGGGGGGGGGGGGTTTGATTCTTACTTGCTCAGCAGATGCGCTTCTGCTGAGCATTTAGAGCCCCGATCTTGAGGACACTGCAAGGCTTTTTCCCTCCCTGCTAGTCCCTGGGGTGCAGTAGATTTTCATGAGGGACAATTAGATTAAAGTGTTACTGAACCCACAACAGTACAATCAGTCTGTAGATGCAGGAAAGCGTGCGGGGTTGTTATACTCCAAGTTTGATCCTGTCCGGGGAGAGCGGATTTAGTGAATGCAGGGTCTGGGGAGAGCGGATTTAGTGAATGCGGGTCCGGGGGAGAGCGGATTTAGTGAATGCGGGGGTCCGGGGAGAGCGGATATAGTGAATGCAGGGTCCGGGGAGAGCGGATATAGTGAATGCGGGGTCCGGGGAGAGCGGAGTATAGTGAATGCGGGGTCCGGGGAGAGCGGATATAGTGAATGCGGGGTCCGGGGAGAGCGGATGTAGTGAATGGCGGGGTCCGGGGAGAGCGGATGTAGTGAATGGCGGGGTCCGGGGAGAAGCGGATGTAGTGAATGGCGGGGTCCGGGGAGAGCGGATGTAGTGAATGGCGGGGTCCGGGGAGAGCGGATGTATGCGGGGTGAATGGCGGGGTCCGGGGAGAGCGGATATAGTGAATGGCAGGACTCGGGGAGAGCGGATATAGTGAATGCGGGGTCCGGGGAGAGCGGATATAGTGAATGCGGGGTCCGGGGAGAGCGGATATAGTGAATGCGGGGTCCGGGGAGAGCGGATATAGTGAATGCGGGGTCCGGGGAGAGCGGATATAGTGAATGCGGGGTCCGGGGAGAGCGGATGAATGCGGGGTCCGGGAGAGGGGATATATAGTGAATGCGGGGTCCGGGGGGAGAGCGGATCTAGTGAATGGCAGGGTCCGGGGAGAGCGGGGTATATTGAATGGCAGGGTCCGGGGAGACCGGGATGCAGGCAGGGTCTGGGGCCTAGTAACACTTTAAGACTCCAATTTAGTCCCTTGGACAAGTAGTTTTTTAAGAGAGAAAATTTCCACATTGCCAAAAACAGGATAAAACAAAAAAAATTACTGAAGGGTACATAAGCTTCCCCCCCCCAACTATAATCTATTGCAGGTGGCTGAGCAGGAAGCTCTTAGTGAACAGTTACATAACTTCTGATTGGGAAAATGACTTTTGGAATGACTAGCTACAGTATCTTGACAGAAGATTTGTTAATTTTATTTATTTTATTTTTTTTTTTCTTCAGGAAAACCAAGAAAAACAAGCAAAAAGGTAGGTTTCCGACCTTTTAAATGGTCACCTATCCTTCTTTCTTCCTCTTTCCCCCATTACAGCATTTTTTTTTTTTTTTCTGCTAATTAGCCCCTGGGAGTGGAGAGGGCACCAGTACCAGCGATGCTCCTCAGCCACCACGGAAGAAGCGGGCCCGAGTGGATCCCACTGTTGAGAGTGTAGGTATCTTATGTCCATTGCTTCACCTTACTCTCGACCCACGTCAGCAGCATCACGCCGTATGATAGAGCTGGTGTAATGTATACCCAACCACATCCACATGATAAAGATGAGGTATATAACCCTAACAAATGTAGTGAAGACACAAGGCGTAGGGTGGTGGGTGCCACGTGTCCTTGTACCCTGACTGTGAAGGATGTATACTAGGTCAGGCACAACTAAATGGCGGACTGCGTTCCACAAACTGACCGAATGACAGTCTGACCGCGGCTCCGCCACTCCTTTCCCAAATCCCCCCTCCCCCAGGCAGAAGGCACATCATGTCCAGCCAGTGGGCAGGAGCTACCCAGCTTTTCACATTAACAAGCTGTTGATTGGTTGCCAGCAACCAATCACTTGCCTGTTAACATGAAAAGCATGTCCCGCCCTCTGTCCAGACATGCCTTGCCTTCTACCTGCTGTGTAAGGCAGCATTGAAAAGGTTATAGGAGGGGTGTGATCGGCATGGGGTAGTGTAAGGGAGGGGGGATTCATATAAAGGGGACTGGGCTGCACGGAAGGGAGGACATGGGGGCTATGAAGGGGACCAGTATACAAAAAAGGAGTTGTAAAGGGTACTGGAGTGCAAGGAAGGGCAGCTGTGAAGTGGTCTGGGGGGGGGGGGGGGGCACAAGGAATGGGGTTAAGCAATATGGGGGGCATGAAGTGGACTGGGGTGCAAGGAAGGGGGGGTTGAGAAGAGGACTGGGATGCAAGTAAAGGGAAGCTGTAAAGGGAACTGGGGTGCACAAAAAGGAGGGATGAGAAGGGTACTGGGGATGCAAGTAAGGGGGGGAACTGGGGGGTGCAAGGAGGGAGTGCTGTGACTGGAGCTGGGATTCAAGGAAGGAGTGCTGTGAGTGGAGCTGGGATTCGAGGAACTGGAGGAGGGCTGTGACTGGATTCGAGGAAGGAGGGCTGTGAGGGGAGCTGGGATTCGAGGAAGGAGGGCTGTGAGGGGAGCTCGAGGGATTGACGAGCTGGGAAGGAGGGCTGTGACGGGAGCTGGGATTCGAGGAAGGGCTGTGACGAGGGCTGTGACGAGGAAGGAGCTGTGACGGGAGCTGGGATTCGAGGAAGGAGGGCTGTGACGGGAGCTGGGATTCGAGGAAGGAGGGCTGTGACGGGAGCTGGGATTCGAGGAAGGAGGAGCTGGGATTGACGAAGGAGCTGGGATTCGAGGAAGGAGGTGCTGTGACGGGAGCTGGGATTCGAGGAAGGAGGGCTGGGGATTGAGGGCTGGATTCGAGGAAGGAGGGCTGTGACTGGGATTCAAGGAAGGAGGGCTGTGACGGGAGCTGGGATTCAGTTAAGGGGGGGTGCTGTGATAAGGGGGGGGCTGAGCTGCAATCCAGTTAAGGGGGGGCTGTGAAGGACTAGGATGTACGGAAGGGGGCTGTGATGTGAAGGGGAGGAGGACATTGATGTGAGGTGGGGCTGACGACGGTGATGAAAAAGGTGGGGGCTATGATGTGAAGGGGGCACACACATCTAGGTAAAGGAGGTGCTATGATGTAAAATGGAGGGGATTTGGATGCAAAGGGGGGCTGTGATTTAAAGCAGGCACTGTAATGTGAATGGGCTTGCTGTGATTTAAAAGGAGCCACTGTAGTGTAAACGGGGGTCTGTGATGTAAAGGGGAAACTGTAATGTGTGGGGGGGGGGGGGGGGGAGGGTCTGTGATATGAAGAAACCGAGTCATAGCACAAACCTTTGATTTGGACCCCTGTTGGATGAAAATGTTAATGACTGGAACTCCTTGAATTTTAATTCAATATCCCTGTACTGTGGCTAGCTAAGACCGCCATGACAATGACTTATAGAATACCTCAGTTGCTATTTAGCCACTTCCCATCCGGCCCATGTACATAAACGTCTGGAAGGGACCAGTGGAGGAGCGGGTGGCCAATTATAAACGTCCTCCCACTTCCCTGCCTGTGCATGCTCCCTGGGAGCGCACGGCACCGCAGTCCACGGCGCCGCGATCCAGCGCATGGCACTGCGATCCGGTGCATGGGACCTCTGTGTGAGGTCCCCATCATGTGATTACTGATTGGCCAATCAATGATCACATGAATAGTAGTAAGCAAAATGTCACTTCTGACATCCTTGCTTACTACGTGTGAAATCTGTGAATGATCACCGAGGTCACATAGTACAGAGCTATTCACAACAGCCTTGTACCATGTGACAAGCTGTGACCAATCACAGCTCACACAGTATTTCTCAAGAAGGAGAAATGATTGCTTTTACAGCCTTTATGGGTGTAAAAGCAACCAGTGTAAAAAAAAAAAACACTGTACTGCTAGGGTGACAGAATGTGTTAAAAAAAACCCATAAATAATATAAAAAAAGAATAAAAATGTAAAAAAAGGTTTTTGGTTTATAAACCAATTTCGGGTTTTTTTTTTTTTTTTTTTTAACTAAAAAGATAGAGGAATACATTTTTGGCCAATATTTATGAAGAAATCTTTATTTGAAACATATAAGAAAAACACGTTTTTTCAAAATGTTTGGACTTTTTCATTTATATAGCAAAAAATAAAAATCCCAGCGGTGAATAATTACCACCAAAATAAAGTTGTATCTGTCTCAAAAAAAAAAAAAAAAAAAAGCTAAAAAATGCATATGGGTACAAATGTTGCATGACCCGCGCAATTGTCATTCAAAGTGTGATAGCGCTGAAAGGTGAAAATTTGGCCTGGGGGCAGGGAGGGGGTGAAAGTGTCCGGACAGGAAGGGGGGGGGGGGGGGTGAAAGTGTCCGGACTTGAAGTGGTTAAAATGGTAATGAGATTCTGCTTTGAATATCGCACCCAAATTACTGGTCTGACTGCTTCAAGATTTGCTTGTTGTCAGCATGTCAAGCAGAGAGATCAGTGAATGGAGGTTTAATGTTCACAAATCCTCTTTATCTGTAAACAGTGTTTTGTCCTGAGAATTTCTAGGTCCATGTTCAGGATGGAGGAGGGAAAGGAGACAAATCCCTATCATACAGGGAACTCCTGCGGTATATTTCCATGAAGCAAGCCAGTGTTTTCCCTCCCGCAGTGCCAGGGAGGCACCCAGTGACAGTAGTAGGCTCGGTTCACACTAACCCGACTCCAAGAGGCACTGTGTTTTTGCAGGTTCTGTGAATCTCTTCCTGAAGTGTCAAACAAAAGCAGCATCTTTTTTCCAGAAAACATCACCTTTTTATTAAAAATCCATCTTTGAGCGTCAGTCCAGTGACTTTGCTTAGGCTGAGGTGTCATTAATCTGCTACTGGCAGAAGGAAAATTGGCACCAGGATTGAAGGGATTGTATCTTCTCTGAGCCAGCTTTGAAATCCAGAAAGTAGTTACCGTGTTTCCCCGAAAATAAGACACTGTCTATATATTTTTTTTTTTTGGCTTAAAAAAAACACACTAGGTCTTATTTTCGGGGTAGGTCTTATTTTTTAAATGTGTGGACAGGGGGTGCAGAGGTGAGCTGCAGGCAGTTGTGGATGAGGGTTACTATAGAGAGGGCCGGCTGATGACAGTTGTGAGCTGCAGTCAGGTGTTGCAGGGGTGACTTGACAGGTGAGCCGCAGACGGGGGTGCAGAGGTGAGCCGCAGACGGGGGTGCAGAGGTGAGCCGCAGACGGGGGTGCAGAGGTGAGCCGCAGACGGGGGTGCAGAGGTGAGCCGCAGACGGGTGCAGAGGTGAGCCGCACGGGGAGGAGCAGAGCTGTGGCTGCGGGGGGCAAAGGTGGGTTGCAACTCAGCTCACCTCTGCACCCCCCAGCCGCAGCTGACCTATGCACCCTGTCTGCAACTCACCTGACTCAATTTACCTCTGCAACACCTCACTGCAGCTCACCTTTGCCCATCCCCCCCCCCTCCACTGCCCTCATATGGTTAGCTAACTTTGCAAAGCACAGCAGTCAGCAGCCGGCCCTCTCTATAGTAACTCCCGTTTCGGGTCCTATCTTCCCACACAGTGCACCAAGCGCATTTACCGCTCCACCTCTTCCCCACTGGCCGGTGATCACCCCTGGGGCATCGGCTTCCATGCATTAGGCTGCTGGAGAAGATGCCCCGCCCCTAAACACACTGCACACTGCACCCCGCAGATATCTGTTCCTTCCCTGTCCCACAGTGAGTACGGAGGTGGGAGTGGTTCTGTGGGAGCGGACGGTGAGTACGGAGGTGGGGGGGTTCTGTGGGAGCGGACGGTGAGTACGGAGGTGGGGGGGTTCTGTGGGAGCGGACGGTGAGTACGGAGGTGGGGGGGTTCTGTGGGAGCGGACGGTGAGTACGGAGGTGGGGGGGTTCTGTGGGAGCGGAGGTGGGGGGGGTGGGAGTACGGAGGTGGGGGGGTTCTGTGGGAGCGGACGGTGAGTACGGAGGTGGGGGTGGTTCTGTGGGAGCGGACGGTGAGTACGGAGGTGGGGGGGTTTTGTGGGAGCGGACGGTGAGTACGGAGGTAGGGGGTTTCTTGGTGAGTACACAGAGGTAGGGGGTTCTGTGGGAGCGGACGTACGGTGAGTACGGAGTACGGACGGTAGGGTGGGGGTTCTGTGGGAGCGGAGCGTATGGTGAGTACGGAGGTAGGGGGGTTCTGTGGGAGCGGATGGTGAGTACGGAGGTGGGGGGGGTTCTGTGGGAGCGGATGGTGAGTACGGTGAGTACGGATGGGTAGGGGGGTTCTGTGGGAGCGGTACGGATGGTGAGTACGGAGGTAGGTGGGGGGGTTCTGTGGGAGCGGATGGTGAGTACGGAGGTAGGGGGGGTTCGGTGTGGGAGCGGATGGTGAGTACGGAGGTAGGGGGGTTCTGTGGGAGCGGATGGTGAGTACGGAGGTGGGGGGGTTCTGTGGGAGCGGATGGTGAGTACGGGAGGTGGGGGGGTTCTGTGGGAGCGGATGGCGAGTACGGAGGTGGGGGGGTTCTGAGGGAGCGGATGGTGCTGTCACTTCAGTCTCGCTTCTGTGTTTATAAGAGACAGTAGATATGGGTGTGCGCAGGGTCAGTGGCGGAATGGCGTTCCGCAATGTTCCAGCTGAAAAAAAGCCCTGATCACAACTAGGTCTTGTTTTTGGGGAAACTGGGTACTGACCCTGGATGATAGCGAAACAAAAATGTCATTCCTATAGAGAAAAGCAGATGAAGGCGTTGTCATACAAGCACTTGAAATTGAAAAACAGACCTGACAGGTCCCCTTTAGGACATGTTTGGCATTTCCAGCTATCAAACTTCTTACAAAATGTTATTTTCTGTATTTACCTGAAGTTTTGTGTTTTTGTTGGTAGGAGGAGACTTTTATGAATAGAGTTGAAGTTAAAGTGAAGATACCTGAGGAACTGAAACCCTGGCTTGTGGATGACTGGGATCTCATCACACGTCAGAAACAGGTACTGGAGTGAGACTGCATTAACCTTTTCACTGCCAGGTCTGTAGGCCGTACGGACCTGACAGCAGGGGGGGTTTTAACCCCTCGCCTACAGGGCACTTCTACCCGCATCCAGTCCAGGCCAATTTTCAGCTTTCAGCGCTGTCACACTTTGAATGACAATTGCGCGGTCATGCAACAATGTACCCATATGAAATTTGTATCATTTTTTTTGAGACAGAGCTTTCTTTTGGTGGCATTTAATCCCCTCGGGGTTTTTTATTTTTTGCTAAACAAAGCCAAAAACTGAAAATTTTGGAAGAAAAAAACTTTCTTAGTTTTTGTTTTAAAATTTTGTAAATAAGTGATTTTTCTCCTTCACTGATGTGTGTTAATAAGGCTTCAGTAATGGGCACTAATAGGTGGCACTGATGAGGAGGCACTGGTAGTTGGCACTGATAGGCATTGACAGGCATCACTGATGGGCACTGAAAGGCAGCACTCATATATGGCACTGTTAGGTGGCACTGATAGGCAGCACTGAAAGGCACTGATAGGCGGCACTGATATGTGGCATTGATGTGACACTGATGGGCACTGGCAGGTGGCACTGATGAGCACTGGCAGGTGGCATTGATGGACACTGACAGGTGGCGCTGCTGGGGCTACACTGATCATCAGTGCCCTGATGATCAGTGTAGATGTCCCCTCCGGAATGCCGATTACCGGCTCTCCTCTCCTCTCCCAGCGTGACAGCTCGTGAGGAGAGATAACCGGTATTACCCTATATACATGCGATCAGCTGTGATTGGACACAGCTGATCACATGACTGAGCCGATCTCTTCGGCTCTTTCCGTTTTTTGATCGGTGATCCGCTGTGTCTGAGAGAGACAGAGTACCACCGATCGCTGTGCGGTTAGAGTGGGAGGACGTCATGTGACATCCTCCCAGAACTGGAGAACCGGGAGATGGTTAAAATGTAAGTTCATGACATCCCTAAAATGGCCCCAATTGTATCGGTTTTATACGTTATACAGTTTTTTCTCATTCTTTTGTAGTTGTTTAATCTGCCTGCCAAGAAGAATGTGGAAACTATTCTTGAAGAATATGCTACTTACAAGAAATCCAGGGGGAACACAGACAACAAGTACGTACCGTCGCTGAATAAAAATAGATTGTGTGTGTTTTTGTTTTTTTTTTTTCTTTTATAAAACGATTTAAAGAAATGTACATATAACCTTTATTACAGTTAAATGGCGAATAGGGATGCAGAGATACCCTTTGTTGATCGTCGGGTACGAGTGCCAATACTTTGTGGTGATTTGCAGCAATACTAAATGTATGGATGCAGATGGCACTGCAAAGAATAGCATGTGATTTGAACAGGAATGCGATTTCCATCCAAATCTCAAGCAGTTTCCCCACTGCTCCTGTGTGAACCCAGGCTGTCATAGGCTGTCACCACAGACCGGGATATTCAGAGGATTGTTACATACAGTAGCACTCTAAAGAATCCCTGTCTCTTCAAGTGTGCATTAAAAGCTTTAGAAGACCGTTCAACACTTTTCAAAATATGGTTTATTACTAGTGGTGCACCGAAATGAAAATTCTGGTGCTGAAACCGAAAATTCAAAATGCACTTGGCCGAACACCGACATGCGCAGTTTTTAAAAATGAATATATGTATTTTGGGAAAAAAATACACTTTGATTAAAAAAACAAAATAAAACCGTATATACCCCAATTTTTTAGTAAAAATATGATAGAGGATGTTACGTTGAGTAAATAGATGCCCAACATGTCACGCTTTAAAATTACGCACGCTCGTGGAATGGCGTGAAACTGCGGTACTTAAAAATTTCCATGGGTGATGCTTTAACTTCAAGCCGGCCGAACGCAAATGTGCGGCCTCCTCGCGTCTGGGCCTAGAGGCCGAGCTGCCATACATTTGCGTTCTATTGAAAAAGGACATGTGCCGAGAGTGCGCGCCCTCCGGGCTCCCAGCACACATGTCCGGTACTCTTGGAAAGGTCCCGGTCTCCTCTTTCAATCGGGACCTTTCCCAATTATGTGACCGCCATGACGACGCATCATGGCGGTCACATGACCCCTAAACCTCGCCCGTCCCGGCTTCTGAAACTCTTAAAGGGCCGGGAGGCACCGGCGTGAAGGGGTTAAACATTTTTTACAGGTTAGCAGTGTAAAGTTAGAGGTCTAGTGCGAGAATTATTGCTCTCGCTCTGATGTTTGTGGCGATACCTCACGTGTGTGGTCTGAACACCGCTTACATGTGTGGGCGTGGCCTACGTATGCGTTCACCACTACACGCGAGAACAGCGGCACTTTAAATTTTTTTTTTTTTTGCACTGTCCCTTTTAAAAAAAAAAAAAATAAAAAATCATCACTTTTATTGTCACAAGAAATGCATGCATCCCTTGTGCTAGAAATTAGTGACAGGTCCTCTTTATGGAGAGATATGAGGTCAATAAGACCCCTCATCTCTCCTCTGCAATGTGAAGCATTGGATCAAAAAACATTGATCTAGTACTTTTATAAAAAAAAAAAAAAGGACGGAACCAGAAGTGATATCGCTCCAGTCAGAGAGAGTGGCATAGAGATGAGTGGAGGCCATCTGTCTTTCACTCATCTCTATGCCCAGTGCCAGGAATTGTTTGATAGTTTCACAGGTAAGGCTGAGAACTACAGAGCGGTGGTGCAAAGGGCGGCAGGCTTCTTTTGGCACCTGTATTGGTTTTTTTTTTTTTTTTTTTTTTTTTTACATTTCGGCCACTGAAATTTAGGTGCATCCCTATATAAAAAGGTCAAAATGGTGCAATTAAAATATTTACCGAAAAAGATGTTACAAAGACAGAACAATCAAGCAACCGAGAAATAAAAAGGAGTTAAGAAGGCAGAATACTGGCAAAGTCCCGGTTTTAGTCGAGTCCAATTGTCCGAATAAAAATGTTGCCTTGGCTCTCAAGTCCGTTAGATGTTTCCTGATTGATGTTAAACGAGAGCTCTTACTAGATTCGGTCAGTCCTTTTCTATGATATCAAAGGGCTGTCGCCTGAGAACAACTGACCACTCACCTGGTTTTGGGGATGGGTGCTACGTCACCAAGTTTATGACCAAGTCCCAACTACAGTTTCATACTAATAACTTCAGTATGTGCAGGTGGTATTCTAGCGACTGGTAGAATATTATTCAGAATTATATTTTGTACCCAGGTATACCAAACACAGAGTACCTTTATCACCCAGGAAGGAGGAGACTTCTTTCTCCCCTTTTCTATGTGCGAACAGTCATGTATGACCTTGATGTGTTCGGTATGATATTCCCTATTCAAATATATACCTAATATGTATTTATTTATTTCAGGTACTTATATAGCGCCATCAGTTTATGCCGCGCTTAACACCTATATATTGTACATTCACATCAGTCCCTAACCCTCAAGAGGTGTACAATCTAAGGTCCCTAACTCACATTCATACATACCCATACTAGGGACAATTTAGACAGGATCCAATTAACCTCCCAGCATGTCTTTGGAGTTTGGGAGGAAACTGGAGTGCCTGGAGGAAACCCACGCAGGCACAGGGAGAACATGCAAACTCCAGGCAGGTGGTGCCGTGGCTGGGATTCGAACCAATGACCCTAGTACTGTCAGGCGGAAATGCTAACCATTTAGCCACTGTGCTGCCCATAATATTAATGTGTCCTGTTCCTGTTGAATTCTATGAATTGTATGTGGACGTTTTATGGCACACTCTGCATTCCTAGAGCCTAACTGGCCTTACAGGTTATGTGTGACGGCTTGACTGAGTTATTGTTTTACGATAGGGCAAAGGAAAGTGTTTTCCATGGTTCGTGGAAACAAACTGCCTGCCAAGACTAGCCGTTTACTGCCCTGTACGCTGGCATCTATTTGTGTTTTAATTAACATAAGAGGCTCTATTGAAGTCCGTTACAGCTACACATTCCAGTTTCAGGAGGGGAGAAAGATTATTGTTCATGAAAAACAAGATGGCTGTCGTGTACAGCTTCCATGTCTCTATTGCGCATAATCATTGCATACCTGTTTATATATTGACTTGCCTCCTCCTTCTTGCAGGGAGTATGCAGTGAATGAAGTTGTAGCGGGTATTAAGGAATATTTTAATGTCATGCTGGGCACGCAGCTGCTGTACAAGTTTGAGCGCCCTCAGTATGCGGATATCTTGGCGGATCACCCCGATGCCCCCATGTCCCAAGTCTATGGTGCTCTCCCCACCTGCTACGCCTTTTTGGTAAGCAATGCCTATTCTGGTATTCTGTATTACTCTTTAGTATTGTTCTACTCGTCCTACATTCACCTTTTTTTGCTCTGGTCCATATAGTTCGTATTGGGGCAATGTTATCATACACTCCATTGGATGAGAAGAGTCTGGCCCTTCTGCTGAACTACCTGCATGACTTCCTGAAGTGAGTGATTTCTTGTGATTTGTAGCTTTGTAGATAATTCTGTTCTCCTGACAGTCCATACACCTGAGGTCTGCTGTCTGTGGCACGCAATGAGCTGACGGACTGTATTGTGTTGGGTCTGCAGAGCGAACATAAGTAAAACTACTTTTATTTGGATTTTAACCACTTCCCGTCCGGCCCATGTATATAAACGGACGGAAGCAGTGCAGTGGCGGGTTGCTGTTTATAAATGGCGGCCGCCATTTTGGATTGTGTGCGCTCCGTGGGAGCGCGCAGCACCGCGATCCGGTGCCCGCTGTGTCCCCTGGACACAGCGGAACACCAATCGCTGTACGGGACCTCTGTGTGAGCTCCTGATCATGTGATCACTGATTGGCCAATCAGTGATCACATGAAGAGTAGTAAGCAAGATGTCACTTCTGACATCATTGCTTACTACGTGTGAAATCTGTGAATGATCACAGATCACATGGTACAGGGCTATTCACAACAGCCTTGTACCATGTGACAAGCTCTGACCAATCACAGCTCACACAGTATTTCTCAATGGCTGCAAGAATGCAGCCAGAGAGAAGGAGAATCCGTGCAAGAAAAAAAAAAAAAATCTTCACCCCCCCACAAGTAGTACTGTACTGCTAGGGTGTCAGTATGTACAAAAAAAAAAAAACAATATAAAAAAAAAATAAAAATGTAAAAAAAAAATTTAGAAAATGTTTTTTTTTTTTTTATATAAAATAACTGAATAAATTTTGACCAAGATTTCTGAAGAAAGATTTATTTGCAAAATTTTATAAGAAAAACACTTATAGTGAATGTGGGGTCCGGGGAGAGTGAATGCGGGGGGACCAGATATAGTGAATAGTGAATGCAGGGTCCGGGGAGAACGGATATAGTGAATGCGGGGTAATGGGGGGGAGAACGGATATAGTGATGCGGGGTCCGGGGTCCGGGGGGGAGACCAGATATAGTGAATGCGGGGTCCGGGGAGAGCGGATATAGTGAATGCGGGGTCCGGGGAGAGCGGATATAGTGAATGCGGGGTCCGGGGAGAGCGGATATAGTGAATGCGGGGTCCGGGGAGAGCGGATATAGTGAATGCGGGGTCCGGGGAGAGCGGATATAGTGAATGCGGGGTCCGGGGAGAGCGGATATAGTGAATGCGGGGTCCGGGGAGAGCGGATATAGTGAATGCGGGGTCCGGGGGAGAGCGGATATAGTGAATGCGGGGTCCGGGGAGAGCGGATATAGTGAATGCGGGGTCCGGGGAGAGCGGATATAGTGAATGCGGGGTCCGGGGGAGAGGGAGAGCGGATATAGTGAATGCGGGGTCCGGGGAGAGCGGATATAGTGAATGCGGGGTCCCGGGAGAGCGGATATAGTGAATGCGGGGTCCGGGGAGAGCGGATATAGTGAATGCGGGGCGGGGTCCGGGGTCCGGGGAGAGCGAATATAGTGGATCCCGGAGGGGAGAGTGATATATGAGCGGGGTCCCGGGGGGAGAGCGGATATAGTGAATGCGGGGTCCGGGGGAGAGCGGATATAGTGAGCGCCGGGTCCCGGAGGGAGAGCGGATATACAGTGAGCGCTGGGTCCCGGAGGGAGAGCGGATATAGTGAGCGCCGGGTCCCGGAGGGAGAGCGGATACAGTGAGCGCCGGGTCCCGGAGGGAGAGCGGATATAGTGAGCGCCGGGTCCCGGAGGGAGAGCGGATATAGTGAGCGCCGGGTCCCGGAGGGAGAGCAGATACAGTGAGCGCCGGGTCCCGGAGGGAGAGCGGATACAGTGAGCGCCGGGTCCCGGAGGGAGAGCGGATACAGTGAGTGCCGGGTCCCGGAGGGAGAGCGGATACAGTGAGTGCCGGGTCCCGGGGTTTAGTAACACTTTAAGTGGTTAAACTGTTAACTTTTTTATTTGTTAATTTTGTTTTATTTCTTGCTCCTACTTTCCAGGTATTTGGCCAAAAATTCCTCCACGTTGTTCAGTGCCAGCGACTATGAGGTTGCACCCCCCGAATACCACAGGAAGGCCGTATAGTCTCCTCATCGATCGTTTCTGCTGAAGGTGTAGCAGCGAGCGTCCCAAGGCTTGCTCGCCATCATTCTAGCGTGACCTTACAAGTGACTGGCGGATGAGAAGAATGCGTGTTTCTTCATTGTGAATGATCTCGTGGATTGTTAAGGTGGGGGGAGGGGGAGGCTCAAGACCATCGGCTTCGCCTTCAGACCCGAGGTAGCCATGTGTTTTATTGGTGACCGGAGACATCTGAACTTTGTCCAGTATTATGGTGACTTCTAGACACATTGGGTGCGTGGCTGAGGACTATTTCCCTGAACTGAAATCAGAGCGTCTCCCCAGCTTTCTAGTACCGCTTTCCTGGTGATTGTGTGGTTTGCAGCCTCGGTATATTGTTCACGTGATATGTACTCTCATGCCCTGGCATTGGGCCACTCCCATCTGGAAGATCTTGGCGCTGAAAAAAACGGTTCTTAAGGTGTTCTGGGACAACAAGGCTGCTGGTAACATCGTGGACTTCTTTTAAAAAAAAAAACAAAAAAGAAAAAAAAAAACAAATTTGCCTATCGGATGCCTTGTATTTTTGTTAACGTATTCCTAACTTCATGTTCGTTCACTATTTAGTGGGATTTTGTATGGGCCCCCGGGACCAAAACGACACCCTAACCTCACTTGAAGCCCGTCACGCCCCTCATGTCGTCTTCATTTTTATCTTCAGTGCAACTTTATTTTAAAAGATCGTTCTCTGTAGGTTTGTAATGTTGGGGTTTTTTGTTTTTTTTTTGGTTTTTTTTTTTGTTTTTTGTTTTTTTTTTTATATCAATCTACCTAGAGACTGATTCACCAACCCAGCCAGGAAGAAAAACAATTCTATACATCTTTTTTTTTTTTTTTCTTTCTGTGTTTTTGGTTTTTTTGTTTTTTTTTTTTATCAGTCTACCTAGAGACTGATTCACCAACCCAGCCAGGAGGACATAACAATTCTTTACATAATTTAATTTTTTTTTTTTTTTTTTCTTTCTGTTTTTTTTTTTTTTTTTTTTTTATCCATCTACTTAGAGACTGATTCACCAACCCAGCCAGGAGGACATAACAATTCTATACATATTTTTATTTTTTTATCCATCTACCTAGAGACCGATTCACCAAACTGGCCAGGAGGAAATAGCAATTCTATACATAATTTCATTTTTTTTTTTTTTTTTTTTTTATATATATCAGTCTACCTAGAGACTAATTCACCAACCCAGCCAGGAGGAAATAACAATTCTACATATTTTTTTTTTTTTTTGTTTGTGTTTTTTTTTGTTTTTATCAATCTACTTAGAGACTGATTCACCAACCCAGCCAGGAGGACATAACAATTCTATACATATTTTTATTTTTTTATCCATCTACCTAGAGACCGATTCACCAAACTGGCCAGGAGGAAATAGCAATTCTACATATTTAATTTTTTTTTTTTTTTTTTTTTTGTTTTATCCATCTACCTAGAGACTGATTCACCAACCCGGCCAGGAGGACATAACAATTCTATATATATTTTTTTTTTTTTTTTTTTTTTTTTTTACTCCCCTGTTCTGATCTGAAGGGCTGTGGGGGGCATAGAGAGGGAAAATGCTGGCAGATGGGGGTGGCCGGCAGTGTTATGCACCCACCTTCTAGAAGTGCTTTTCGACTCATTACCTGTTATTTTCTTGTTTGATAACAGTAACTGCTTGTCCGGTAGCATTTCTGCATTTGGGTGTCAAAACCTCGGAATTTGGTGACCATTTAAAAAAAAAAACTAAATTTGTCGTGTAGCTGTTTTAAGAGACCTAAAATGTTCGTTCTGCATATCTGTACTGATTTTTGTTGGGCATGAAGGTGGAGGGGTGTTCACAGCCACACCCACCCAAGTTTTTGGATTAAAAAGCAGCGGATGAGCACAAAGCGCTCCGTTCTGAGCGTTCCTGCGACTTAATGCGTTCAATACTGAAATGTGTTTGATGCGACGGGGACAACGGGTCCCTGATTGACAGGCAGCTGCTCCTGGGTTGTCAGGCTGCAGTGATGCTACGTTGGCCATTCCACAGGGCTGGACGTTCTCTCTGCCGTTAGAAATTCGAGCAGCACTATGCTGAGCATGGTCCTTGATGTTCAGAAATGTCTTTTAATGCATGAACTTGTTTTATGTTTTGCTTTAAATGTACAAAAGATGTTCTATAAAATAAAGGTGCTGTTAATGCCATGGTGTGCATTACAAATTTGACGCGTGTGTGTTTGGGGTTTTTTTTTGCTCCAGGATGGCCGGGGTTAATTCAGTTTGGTGTAAGTTGATGTTTCCTGCTGGAGGGTGCCTGGTGTGACGCTTGCACCCGCCGCATTTTGAGGGATTACTGCACGTGAGGATCCTGCCACTCTTTTGGATCCAGGACGCCAGGCAAGCACCATGATTATTATACAGTATTTATATAGTGCCAACAATTCGCTCAGCGCTGTACATTATAGTGGGGGAAAGAACATGAGACAATACACGAGGGGTTCGAGGGCCGGCTCCTTGGAGCTTACAATCTAGGAGGGAGGGGATAGTGGTACAGGAGGAGATAGCTGTGGGGGATGGGGTGGTAGGAAGAGTGGACGAGGTCGGCAAGTTAGCAGGGGGGTGGGGTAGGCTTCCCTGAAGAGGTGGGTTTTCAGGGTGCGCCTAAAGGAGAGGAGAGTAGGTGATAGTCTGATGGATTGGGGTAGGGAGTTCCAGAGGATGGGTGATATCCTGGCGGCGGGCATGGGAGGAGGAGACCAGGGAACTAGAGAGAAGGAGGTCTTGTGAGGAGCGGAGAGTACGTGTTGGGTGGTACTTGGATATCAGGTCGGTGATGTAATTTGGGGCAGTATGGTGGACAGCTTTCAATGTTAGCAGTTTGAATTTGATCCGTTGGGCAATCGGGAGCCAGTGGAGGGATTGGCAGAGGGGGGTGGTGGATACGGAGCGGTTGGTAAGGTGGATGAGTCTGGCCTCCGTATTCAGGATGGACTGAAGCGGGGATAGCCTGTGGCGAGGCAGGCCAGTGAGGAGGGAGTTGCAGTAGTCCAGTTGTGATATGATGAGGGAGCGGATGAGCTGTTTAGTGGTTTCCGGGGTTAGGAATGGGCGGATTTTGGCGATGTTGCGGAGGTGGAGTCTACATGAGTTTGTTAGCGATTGGACTTCGGGCTGGAAGGACAGATTGGAGTCTAGTATGACACCAAGTACTCTGGCTTTTGGGGTGGGACTGATAGTGGCATGGTTGGACGTGATGGAGAAGTCAGTGGGGGGTGGTGTCCGGGCTGGGGGGGAAGACTAGGAGCTCGGTTTTGGAGAGGTTCAGTTTAAGGAAGTGGAGCGACATCCAATCTGATATTTCGTTCAGTAGGCAGGTGATACGGGCGGAGACTGAAGGGGTAAGGCGAGGGGTCACCATCTTTGGGGCTGGGATCCTATTGGCAGGCGCTGTCAATTTAGGGAGGCGAGATGGCGGCGGGGGGGAGGGGTTCCCCTGTGGGATCTGAATCTGTGCTTTTCTCGTATAAGGTACTCTTGTAACCATCACCTCTGTGAGGTAAGTGTCTGAACCGGTGGTATTATCCTGCAAGGAAACGATACTGGTTTTTAGACCAGTTCCTCATTCCACCATCTCTTGATGGATCAGACAGACCCTTGTGAAAGCTTGTGGCCTCCAGGATCGGGTTGCACACTTCCCTTTTCTAGGTGCGCTCTTACGAGATCTCTGAGAGCTTCTTTGGCTTTTCAGCATCAAGCAAAGGTGTTTGCAGGCCGTCACATGGCCCATTGTTCATGTTTTCTAAGTTCTGCTCAGTCAGGGTTCCTCAGCCAGGCTTCTTTGAGCAATGAGAAATTTCTGCACCTCGGTTAATTTCCCAGTGACACCATCGATCTTTATAGCTATCTGTAAGCGGGTAGTTCTTCACAATGACCTCAAGTGTGAGGAGCGTTCTTCCTGCTGACCATCACACCAATGTATCATGAGTTGTAGATATAGTCATTTCTAGCAAGGGTTGGTCTAGGTCAGCCTTTCTCAACCAGGGTGCCTTGAGGATTCTTCAAGGGTGCCTTGGCAAAATGTCTAAAGATTGCCCAAAACTTTTATACAAGCCAGCGGGTGGAACAAGCCGGCCTTTTAGTTGCACAAAGCCACAGGTTTTCATTGTGCACCATTACGACCGTCAAGCCACCGGTGTCCTGACAACCAATGACATCAGTTGATGAGGATGTCAGCTGCCTGCACAGCATCCCAGTTTGACCCTCCCCCTTGTCCCTGGACTTGACCCTTGCTGGACAGAATCTGCCCTTCTGCTCTGTGCCCCTGGACTTAACCATTGCTGGCCAGAGTCTGCCCTTCTGCTGTGTGACCCTGGCCCTAACCCTTGCCGGCCAGAGTCTGCCCTTCTGCTGTGTGACCCTGGCCCTAACCCTTGCTATACCTATCGTGTGCCCTCCAAATCACGCAATAAATGCCTTGTGTGCACCACTGCTCTCCTGTGTGTGTTCTGTCCCACCTACACCTCCATCACATGAGGCATGCTGGTAGTAGGAGGGGATATCCTAAGCTGGCCTACAGTGTTTTTTTTTTTTTTTTTTTGCCAGTGTCCAATCCTGTAGAGTGTGATATAACCCAAAAGACTTTGTGTCCCTCAACAGACCCCCAAAAAAAAGAATTTTACGTTGAATTCAAAAATCCTATTTTCCATTTTGTGGACTTCCCATTCAGCTTAGTTACATCTGTGAAAATTGTTGCCAGGAGCCTGGTCCTTATACTGGCTCTACTCAGAGCTAGGCCTATGTTGGCTGTGTCTTCGTTTTCACAACCTCCTCATCAGGTCCTGTCCTGGAGAGTCCAGCAAACAAGCGACCCTGAAGGTTCTTTGGAGTTTTGGATGCAGACTCCATTGCAATGCTTGGAATACTGGAAAGTAAGTTGCTCACAGATGGGTTTTGGGGCAAAAAAAAAAAAAATATACTCCATCTGAATTCAGTGTTGTGCTTCCCTCTGTTTGCAGGTACTGAGGCTTTTGGCAGCCACCTTTTAATGTGATACCCCTTGCTCAGTTCCTCCTCCATAGAGATCTCCAGCCAAACACTATGGCTGACACAAACCGGTTCCCTCTATCCCTGGAAAGGAGGATTCTACTGTCTCCTCAGACTAAGCAGAACATGTTAATACTCATGGTTCTTGGGGTCACTTCTCCCTTTTGCTTTGGAAGATCTACACTTTATACCGAAGCCTCTTCAACTAGGGAGGAGTCCTCAGCATCCTACTGGTTCAGGGTTGGTGGACACAGGAGATGTTCAGTCTGTCCTTTGACTATCGTCCTAACTGGGCAGCCCATTTTCAAGGCCGTCTGAGTGGAGTCGAGTCTGCAAATGGCACTTTAGTGGCCTACATAAATTACCAGAGGTTACCAGCAGTAAAGCAGCAGAGAAGAGATGACTCTCACCTTGCACTGGGTGACCATCATGTCAAATGCTGTTGGGATTCCACAATCCCAAGGGTGGCCAGTTTAATGGTGAACTTCTTAAGAAGTCAACAGCTAAAGCTTGGAGCATGATCTTTGCACCAAGACATGTTTTGTTAGACCTGTATCCAGTGCTCCCCAGAAAATGATCTAATGGTACCATGCCACAGAGTTCCAAGGTTCCCAGCCTGGTCCTGAGACCCTCATGGATATGGTTAGTGCACTAGTTGCCCTGTGCCCTGTTTTAGGAGTAACCGTAGACTGGTCAGGAATATCCTGGTTCTTGTATTTCTGGTGGCAAATGCTTTCTTGCTTCTGCCAGACCATCCAGTCCTCTCTCAGCATTTTCATGTAAATCCCTGAAAGGGATTTTACAGTGAGCAAGAGAAATGCCTATCTATAATGTTGATGTCCTCTACAGAGGGAAGGAAGCCATGCAAGGGGCTTGCTATGGGGCATGAGCCAGGAGTGCCAACGGGGGACCCAAGAAGAGGAGGATCATGGCCTCTCTGTGCAAAACCATTACACAGAGCGGGTAAGTATACCATGTTTGTTTGTTTTTAACACTTCCTTTAGTATAACTTTAAATCTTTGCCTTCATATACCTATTTTATTCCTCGCTTACTAATCCTATTCCAGTGATGGCGAACCTTTTTGAGCCCGATGTGCCCAAACTTCAAAAAACCAACTTATTTCTTTCAAAGTGCCAACACTGCAATGAAACCTGAATATCGATCTTTTGGTTTAGAAAAAACAACTCGTACAGAAGTGCAAACTAATTAACAGTACAGGGATGACCAGAGACTGCGGACACAGTACAGGGATGACCAGAGACTGCGGACACAGTACAGGGATGACCAGAGATACACAGTACAGGGATGACCAGAGACTGCGGACACAGTACAGGGATGACCAGAGACTGCGGACATAGTACAGGAGATGACCAGAGACTGCGGACACAGTACAGGAGATGACCAGAGACTGCGGACACAGTACATGAGTGACCAGAGACTGCGGACACAGTACAGATGACCAGAGTGCGGACACAAACAGGGATGACCAGAGACTGCAGACACCTGACATGGATATGCGGACACAGTTAGTGACCACTGCGGACAGTTGACCCTGGACATCCAGTACAGGGATGAGACCAGAGACTGGGGACACAGCACAGGGATGACCAGAGACTGGGGACACAGCACAGGGATGACCAGAGACTTCAGGGATGACCAGAGACTGGGGACACAGCACAGGGATGACCAGAGACTGGGGACACAGCACAGGGATGACCAGAGACTGGGGACACAGCACAGGGATGACCAGAGACTGCGGACACAGTACAGGGATGACCAGAGACTGCGGACACTGTCTCAGGGATGACCAGAGACTGCTCACAAGGATGAAAATGCGGACCAGTTCAGGGATTGCGGACACAGTACAGGATGACCAAATGCGGCTATCTATGACCAGAGACTAGGGATGTTGATGACACTACTACAGACTGCGGACACAGTACAGGATGCCATGACACAGTAAAGGGATGGGCTTGACACTACAGGGATGACCAGAGGCGGCACAGCCAGGGATGACCAGAGACTGCGGACACAGTACAGGGATGACCAGAGACTGCGGACACAGTACAGGGATGACCAGAACTGCGGACAGTACAGGGATGACCAGAGACTGCGGACACAGTACAGGATGACCAGAGACTGCGGACACAGCACAGGGATGACCAGAGACTGGGGACACAGCACAGGGAGGGACCAGAGACTGGGGGACACAGCACAGGGATGACTGCTGACCTTTGGTGAATTTGACAGGTACCCCGCTCTTACTTCCGCAGAGTTTTTTTTTTTTATCTTACCTGTTCCTCGACAGCCGCGAGCTGGGCTTCTGTAGTGTGGGCGCTCGTCGGACACCGGATGTTTGCGCGAGTTTGCTTTTTAATCTGTCATGTGTCCCTTTACCGCCTTAACTTCACAAGGAGCATCTTGGGACCCGGCTGTCACGCACACTACAGCCGGGAAGACAGCGCGCCGCTTTTCCTGGCGTGCCCACAGATAAGGCTCGGCGTGCCGGCTGTGGCACGCGTGCCACGGGTTCGCCACCACTGTCCTATTCCATTATTCTCAGCTTCTTTAGCAAGGCAGTGGTGGTCTTGGAGGTGTGTTTGGGGTCGTTCTGTTGGAATACTGATAGAGAGAGAGATATATAGATATAGAGAAAGAGAGATATTATATATATATATATATATATATATATATTCTATCTCTCTATCTCTCTAATTTTTTTATTTTATATTTTTCAAAAAATCCTAGAGAATTAAATAGCATCTATTGCAATTTTTTTATGTCACGTAGTATTTGTGCTGTTGTTTTTCAAGCGCAATTAAAAAAAAAAAAAAAAATACACTTTAATACATTTTTTTAAAATGTTATATCTATCCCAATTTTTTTGTAAAATTTGAAGAAGGATGTTACAGCAAGTGAAAAGATACCTAACATGCCACGCTTTGGAATGGTGACAAAAACTACGGTACTTAGAAATCTCTATAGGCGACGCTTTAAAAGTTTTTAGAGGTTACCACTTGAGAGCTACAGAGGAGTTCTAGCATTAGAATGATTGCTCTCACTGTAACATTTGCGGCGATACCTCACACGTGTGCTGTGAACACCATTTACATATGCACGCGCGACTTGCGTATGCGTTCAATTCCACACGCGAGCGTGAAAGATGGAGGCGTTTTAAAAAAAAAATTCTTGTTTAATTTTTTTTTTTTTTTTTTTACACTGTCCCTTTTTTCTTTTTTGTAAACATCCCTTGTAATAGAAATAAGCATCACAGGTCCTCTTTCAAGAGTGATCTGGGGTCAAACAGACCCCAAATCTCTCCTTTACCTTTAAAAGCAAAAGATCAAAAATAAATTGTTTACATCCGTCCTGGACTGAATGTGACGTCATGACGTTGCTTTGGTCCTCCCAACACCAAAGAAGCGATCAGAGACCGAGAATCTCTCATGGTCTCTAGAAGCAACCAGCTGCTCCATCCGATGTTTCTTAGGTGTGCCGGTTTTAACAGTAAGCCCGAGAAACACTGGTGAGTGGCGGGGGGTGGTGGGGACATCCCCTCCCACCACTACTGAAAGCGTTCCAGTGGCTGATTGGCCTCTCAGACTGCTTTCTCTGGAAAACCAGCCGCTGTCTGAAAAAAAAAAAAAAAGGATACTGGCTGATATACAAGTGGTAAACCGCTTGAAAATCGCAACATATATATACGTATTGCGGTCTTCAAGTGGTTTATTCTGGCCAATGGAATCCATAAACGCTTGATGCGCCTAAATGCATGTGTAATACGTGGCTTTAAGCGCATTTTTAAATTTTTGCCTGCCAGGAGTAAAATGCGTTCAGATGAGAAATTCAAATGCCCTGTGTGTACGAGGCCCAAAGTGAAATTCTGCTTTAACCGCTTAAGGACCGCCCTATAGCAGATATACCCCTGTGCACAGGATCACGTAAATATACGGGACTCTACACTTCCAGCTAGGGGGCGCGCGTGAGCCATTCACGGCTGCGGATGTCAATCACCGGGTCCCAGCCAGTAATTACCCACCAGCTCAGTGATTACTGAGCATCTCCGATAGACAGGAAGATTGTTTTGTTTACAATCTTCTTCCCTGTCAGCTCGAGCATACTGCACAGTACAGCCATACAGATCAGTGTGCTTACAGTGAAGCACACTCCCAGCACATAGTTAACCCTTTGATTGCCCTTCCTGCCCAGTGTCCTTAGTACAGTGTCAGTGCTTTTTTTTTTTTTTTTTAACACTGATCACTGTATTGTCACTGGGGTGTCAGTGACACCAAGTCAGTTCCCCCCCCCCCCAGTGTCAGAATGTCCACCGCAGTCCCCCTAAAAGTCACTGATCGCTGCCATTACTAGTAGGAAAAAAAAAATTCCAGTATCTATACCGCCATTTATAAACGCTTACAACGCATAAACCAATTAATTTACACGTATTGGGATTTTTTTTTTTAGCAAAGACACGGAGCTGAATACATTTTGGCCAAATTATGACAAAATTTGATTTTTACATTTTTTTTTTTTTACTGGACATGTTTAATAGCAAAAAGTTCAAAATATTGTTTTTTTTTTTCCTCAAAATTGTCGGTCTTTATTTGCTTATAGCACAAACAATAAAACCGCACAGGTGATCAAATACCACCGAAAGAAAGCTCAATTTGTGGGTAAAAAGGCCGTAAATTTCATTTGGGTGCAGGGTTGCATGACTGTGCAATTGTCCGTTAAAGTAACGCAGTGCCGTAATGCAAAAAATGGTCTGGTCAGGAAGGGGGGGGGGGGATCCTCAGGAGGGTAAGGGGTTAAGTAAAGAAAAAGCCAGCACAGTGGCTAAATGGTTAGCACTTCCGCCTGGCAGTGCTCGGGTCATTGGTTTGAATCCCACCACGGCACTACTTGCTTGGAGTTTGCATGTTCTTCCTGTGCCTGTGTGGGTTTCCTCCGGATATTCTGGTTTCCTCCCACACTCCAAAGACATGCTGGTAGGTGAATTGTCTCCTGTCTAAATTGTCCCTAGTATGTGTATGTAAGTTAGGGACCTTAGATTGTACGCCCCTTGAGCATTAGGGACTGACATATAAAGCCATTTATAACTCCGCCCCAAATTACATCACCGATCTTGTCTCCAAACATCACCCAAACCGTACTCTCCGCTCCTCCCACGACCTCCTGCTCTCTAGCTCCCTTGTCTCCTCCTCCCATGCTCGTTTCCAGGACTTCTCCAGAGCCTCCCCCCATCCTCTGGAACTCTCTACCCCAATTTATCAGACTATCGCCTACTCTGCTCACTTTTAGGCGATCTCTGAAAACCAATCTCTTCAGGGAAGCCTATACTGCCCTCAGCTAATACTGGAATCTTCTACTGTTCCTACTAGTCCATCCCCCACAGCTTTTACCTTTTGTACCACCAGCCCCTCCCTCTTAGACTGTAAGCTCCCAGGATCAGGCCCTCCTATCCCTCTTGTATTGTTGCTGTATTGTCTCCCTTTATATTGTAAAGCGCTGAGCAAACTATTAGCTAATGGCGGACTGACAACTCATGTGGCCCCCGGGCAATAGGGGATCATGGGGCCCCTGTGTCCTTTGCCCAAACTCAAAAAAGCCTATGAAAAAGGTACCAGGGGCATCTCATGGGGCCCCCTACTGACCCCGGGCCCTCGGCCAGTGCCCGAGTTTCCAAATGGTCAGTCCGCCCCTGCTATTGGTGCTATATAAATCCTGTATATTAATAATGATGTGAATGTACAATATATATGTAAAGTGCGGCGTAAATTGATGGCGCGATATAAGTACCTGAAATAAATAAATAAATAGATGGATCGAAACTTTGCTGAACCGGCCCGGGATTTGATCCACCTATGGGCAGGCCAGTCGTACTGAAGTTGATTCATCGATCGATTTTTTTTTTTTTCATGTGATCATTGCCGGTGGCTAAAGACTCCTGCAGCAATCGTTGTGTTCTGCCGGCAGGGGAGGCCTAATAGCGCCGCGGGAGAGACTGACTGTGTTGATGGGGAAGTCAAGCAATTTTCTTTCTCTCCACCTGCGATGGAAGGAAAGAAAATTGTATAATATATAAGTTGCTTGGGAAATAAAAAAATAAAAAACCACACAATGGGCAGAAAAATGAAAAAAGCAAAAACATTCCAGTACATACTACAAAAGGAAACGATTGGCTGGCGTGGTGAGTTCCCAGGTTTTTATCACACATTTAGCTTTTCTCAAGCAGCAACATGGGTCACCCCGAACAGAGCAAATAGAACTTTTCTCTTCGCGTGACTTCGCGCTCATTAGCATGACAATGGAAGACATTCCGTTCATTCCATGGTATAGTTGTGGTGGTTTCGGAAGGTTCCATTTCTTTGTGTTTTTGTTACCTTACCGCTCCTGTTCACACCCGCGCTCCTCCACCCCTTCAACAATGGAGCGCAGCCGCCTTTTATCTATTTCCCCGCAATGAACTCAGCAAAAAAGAAATCCTTGGTCAATGTCTGTGTGTTGTATGTTCAGACCTGCCTCATTATTCACCTTGTCTTCACAGAGACTCCAATGTGACCAGCTCAGTGAGGTGCAGAGGCGTCCCTAGGGTTGGTGTCACCCGGTGCGATAACACTTGGTGACACCCCCTCCGACGTTCCCCGCAAGATGGATCGGATCTGCAGATTAAGCATAATGGATCAGACTCCGATCCATTATGCTCCCCAATCCACCGATCTGATCCATCCTGCGGGGATCGTCGGCATGAAACCTATACGGGGTGACAAAGGACCCGCTCCACCAAAAGGTAAGTTGTAAAGAAAGTCGATGATCCCCCAGGGGTGGACTGACCATTCGAGCAGGGCCCGGGGTCAGTAGGGGGCCCCATGAAATGCCACTGTTACCTTTTTATAGGCTTTTTTGAGTGTGGGCAAGGACACAGGGGCCCCATGATCCCCTATTGCCCGGGGGTCCCATGAGTTTGTCAGTCCGCCCCTGCGATCCTCGCAGGATGAATCAGATCTGCGGATTGAGCATAATGGATCAGAGTCCGATCCATTGTCCTCCCCAATCCGCAGATCCGATCCATCCTGAGGGGATTGTTGGCATGCAACCTATACGGGGTGACACCGGACCCGCTCCATGAAAAGGTAAGTTGTAAAGCAAGCCGACGATCCCCGCAGGATGGATGGGATCTGCAGATTGGGGAGCATAATGGATCAGAGTCCGATCCAT